GCGACCCCGACCCCGGGCTCCCGACGTGGAGCGCCCCGACGGAGCGGGGCGGATCCGCCGCTCCGTTTCCCCGCAGAACCGAGCCGCGGTCACGCGTGGCGGAGGGCGGGGGGGGGATGCTCGCCCCCGGCCCCATCCCATGACGGCGATGAGGCGGCTATAATGCCATTAGCCCGGGATTACGCGCCCGCGCCGGGATGTGACACACTTTCTCAAATGGAAGTTTTTTAAACAGAGGGATTTGCGTGATCCCCCACCGCRCCCCTCCATCCCCATCCCCGCACCCGTTCCCGTCCCCATCCTCGGGGCCAGCCCGGGTTCCAGGCGGGTCCCCCCGGCTCTGGCACGGCCCGGCCCGGGGCTCCCGTCTCCTTTTAAGGCAGCGGGCTCGGTGCGGGCTCGGCGCCGCGCCCCGACGTGGAGAGCCCCGGGGGCGCGGGGCTGGAGGGGGGTCACTCCGCCTCCGCGCAGGSAGAGCGCCCCGTMACTAAAWAATAATAATAAAATAATTAAAAATTMAATTAAGCGGARCCCTGAGCGGGCTCTCAGCTCAAAACGGTGCGGAGTAACCGGGGGATGGAGGATGCGTGTGTCTCCTCCCGRCCGGGCCGGGGTCACTCGCCGCCCGCCCTGCCAAACAGGCTGGGAAATGTGTTTATAAATTGTTCAAACTCTGGATAAACTTCARCGGCGTTTGTGTCTGCGTCTCCCCGCATGTTGTTATTTTCCAGAAATCTGGATTACTGGAAATATTTTCTTTAAAGCTGGAGAGAAATCTAAACAGTCTGAGGGCAGGGGGATCTCGGGGGAGGGGGGCAGCCCGGGGGCTGGGGCGCTGGCGGGGCTCCGCGGGGTTCCCTGCGCTCCGGAGGGGCGCGCAGCTCCGCGACCGCGGAGCGGGAGAAACAGGAGAGAGGAGGTGCCGAGGCTCGAGCATCCCTCTCTGCAGCTGTCGATAAAAGGGCATCAGTCGGGCCCCGTGCCCAGCGGGCACCGGAGCACCGCGGGGGCAGAGCCGTTCTCCMGGATCTGCCGGGGATCAGGGGATCCCCGCCCCGCCCAAGGGTGCGAGAGGGGATGTGTGAGCGGCGCCCCGGAGAAGGGAAGCGGAGGAGGGGTGTCCTGGGCGCGGGTGGGTGAGATCAAACGAGGACAGTTTCGTCACACGTGGGGTTCTTTTCCTCTCCAGGTGGAGCGGAGAAAAGGGGCCGAGGAAGCCGCTGGGGCTGCGGGGCCGCCCCTCACCTCGTCCCCACAACCCAGCTGAGGGTCGGACCGGGGGCGCACCCCAGGGCTGGAGGGGCCCCCGAGTCCCGCGAGCACCCGGTGCCCTTCGGGACAGAGGGAGCTCCCCCACCCCGCACCTGCTTCGCTCCGGGAGTCTCTGTCGTTCCAGACAGGTYTGTCTGGCTCCCGGGGAAGGATCGTGGTGCCCAGCCCTGGGGCACCGTCCCCCTCCCCGCTGTTTCCACCCCCTTCCCGAGCTGGGAAGGTGCGAGCAGCCTCCTCAAGGGCTCGGGGCTCTCCTCTGGCCGTGGCATCGCTGCCGGGAATGGGGGGCCCGACGGCTCGCCCTGGGCACAAGAAAACCTTTTCGCCCGGAGCCCCTTTCGCGGCCGGTGCGCCCCGTCGGGGGGGAGCGCTCCCCGGGGCGCGGGGCCGCCGCAGCCCGGCGGAGCCGGGAGGAGGGGAAGGCGGAGGCCCGGCTGCTTGTGAGAATTGTTATTTTTCATCAATCACCCGCAATTTGTGTAAGTGCCCCGGACAGGACACCAGCCGTCCTGCTGGCTGGGGTCACGGAGACAACACAGCGATGGAGAAGAGCAAATTGCATTTGCTCACCAGCTCACAGATCCAAATTACGGCCCTCGCATGGCGCGGGGAAGGGAGCGAAAGGTCCATGTGACATGAGGGAAATATGAAGGACTTTGACAGGTCTTAAACGGCCTGGCGCCAAGGCCTAAGTCTACCGGCTAAAAATAGAAAAGGGATGATGAGTGGAGATGGGCAGAGATGAAAGGGGAAGAGCGAGCGGGCCCGCGATGCGGGGCGGGTGGGGGGCGGGGGCGGCCCGACGGGACGGTTCCCCCGGGCTGAACGGGGACGGGTCCCCAGGGAGGATCCCCGGGACAATTCAACGAGATAAGCCCGATCGCCCAGCCCGGGGAGCGCTGGCCAGCTCAGCGCCAGGCCCGCTAGCCAAAGGCACGGCTCCTAAGAGCCGGGCACGGTGGCCCCGAGTGCTRCAGCGCCCTGGGGCAGGTTGGAAAACCTCCCCTCGAACGGGGCTGCGCGGGGACACTTCTCATCCCCGGCCCCCGGGGCACAGCTGCTCTCGGGACGGGAACCGAGGCCGCCGCCTCCTCTGTCCCTGCCCGGTGCTCGGTCACCGACGGGCGATGCGCGGGCACGGCCCGCCCATGGGTGCAGGCTCCCGGGTCGTGTTCTCGCCCGTGGTGACCGGGGCCGCAGGGGGTGGCAGCGCAGTGGATCCCCCGCTTCCCGCTGGTTCTCCGGTCCCCGTTAGCCCCCCATCCCCGCAGCTCCGTCGGCRGCCGTCGCTACGGAAGGTCGGGGAGACGATGCTGCTGGGGATCGGTTTTATTCTGTTACTGTGCAGGAGAGGCCGCTTGCGGAGTTACAGCGGTGCGGGGGGCGCGGGCGAGCTGCCGGGCAGTGGCCCCGAGGACACTCGACCTTTCCTCGTGGGGACACGGCTGCTCCAGGCCCAGCAGGGCCGGGCCCGCCGTCTCCCTGCGGAGGAGAGGGCGAGGTGTTCGCGGGAGAACCGTCCCGGGGTGGGGAGACTCTCCCCGAGGCAATGAAAGGCTCTACCTTTTCTTTGTGAGGGGGGAAATTGGAAAAAAAAAAAAAAATACAAGCAAGCCCCAATTTTGCCAAAGCTGCCGTCAGCAGTTTTCCACGGCGGTGAGGAAGCAAAGTCCAAATCGGGTTTAAATTTCAGTCCCCGTTGCCCGTTCAATGGTCAGCGGGACCCCCCCGGCCCCGCCGCTCCGGGCAGCCCCGGGGGGTGACGCGCGGTGCCCGCCCCGTCGGGTGAACCTGCCGCGGGACTCGGGCAGGTGCTGCCCGGCCCCGAGAAGAGCCCGGCCATGGGGATGGGGCTGCGCCGGGGGCGGGGGTCGCTATGAGCAGGATGGACCGGGGAGGAGGAATAACAAGAAGTGGAGATGGGAAGGGGGCGGGCGGCGGGCACCCCGCATCCCACCCTGCGCGGGGAGCAGCGACCACGAGGGCTCCGAGCTGCTGCGGCCGCGCCTCGCTGCGCATCCGCGGAGCGGGAGGGCCCGGGGGCGGGGGGGACAGACCGGGGGACAGAGGAGCGGGCCGGCCGCCACCCCCCCGTCCCGCCTGGCCGCAGCGCAGGCGGCGGGGGCAGGAGCCTTGGAAGGATGGCAGGGCGCTTTTTGAAGATTTGGGGGTAAATATGAAGTGACAAGAGACGGGTCTTTATTGTGAGGGCTCAGCCGCCTGGCGCCAGGGCCCTCTTCAGCCACCGCGGCCCTCAGTTAATCAGCGCAGATCTCCAAACCGGCCTCTCCGAGGGGACACCCACCGCGCCCGCCGCCCCCCCGGGCCCCGGCGCGGCGGGACCGGCCCTAATCCCTCAGCAAACAGCCCCGGAGTGTCCCCCCTCCTCCTTATCTGCCTCCCCCCGCCCGGGTAAACAGCCCCTCGGGCCGGGCACGGCCTCGCCGGCCCCGGGCCGCGTACCCGAAGCGCCTCGACGGCGGGGTCTGCGCCTCCGCCACGGGCGCGGAGCTGCGGGCGGGACACCCCCAGCCCCGGTCGGGGCGGCTGCCGGCAGGGTGGGGGGCGACGGCTGGGAGCGACTCACCCGCGCTGGAAGTCGCCGCTCGGGGCCTCGCCGCCGCCCGCAGCTCTCCGCCGGGCCGCGCTCCCGGCGGCCGCCCCGTCGGCGCTGCGCGGTTGTGCGCGGTTGTGCGCGG